CAAGAATCTCACTTAAGCGCAGCAACGAAGCGACTTGTTGGTGTGGGGATTACTTATTCATGACAATACCTTAATTTAAACATAATACTTTTTATATTTTCTGTCGCTTCATGACTTTTATACTTGAATTAGAACTTAGTCAACTTGGGTTGCTTAAGATGATTTAAGGACTAACAATTAGGTTTTCCCACAGCGTGATGACTAGGTCTCATGATGTCATTTAATTGAACTCAGCCTTGTCTCACAATAGCTAATCTCATCCAGTCCGGATCACAATACTTGATCGTTTGAGATTTACATTCACTCTCACAGATGCTAGGTAGTCATAGAGATCTAGAGAATATTAAAAGGGAAATGTATTAAAAATGAAATGTGCTTATTTGCCGAAAGTAATGACAAAGAATATTGCAGATCAAGGTGAAACCTAGTCACTTTAGCTAATGAAAATCAACCCAGATGTGTTTAACTGTGATCACAGTTGTTTATTTGCTTCTTTTTTGTAGTAAATAATTGTCTTCGTTCATATCTTTAACTTATCATCGCTTTAAATGTTTTAACAATATCTTATATCTAACACATTGAAACAGGCCTTTCGTATTATATTTTTCTATTATTTCCCTCTGCTACGCCTTCTTATCTATAACTCTGTAGGCTATATGCTACGTGGGCGACTTCACTTAAAGCATTTCTCACTCATTTTAGATCTCTTTTCAATCAACAATTATTCCCATTCAGGTATCAAGCAGCTCTCATGTCTTCGACCTCTGTTTAGCGCGTCAGGAGTCTCTAGCTCACCTGCACTACTCACTCCTGCGTTGTCTAACCGGACCACGCACGACTTCTGAGGCTGCTACCAATCCTGCCGCTATCCAGAATGATATAGACCCTGTGCTTCGAGCCAGCCTATTTGATTTACTAGCCGAAGTGGTGCTTTGTCACAACCAACCTTCAACGAAAGGCAGAAAACCTCAAAGCCAGCATCAATCGTCTAATGAATCCAGTTCTACCGCCACTCACAGCTCCACGATCCCCTTACTTCTTTCCTTGCTCACTAGGGAAGATTCGTCCGGCGTGTCCTCGACATCTCCAAAAGCTAGCATTCGTCCTCTCGGTTCGACTGCAGCAATCGAAGTGCCCGACTATTTGGAGGCTGCTCTCCAGCTACTTGAAGAGTTTCGCGTAAAATTTTACCATTCTGTGCAAAAACATGCACATTATCTTGTTAACCTCTTCTCCAGTCTATTCCGTACTATACTCTCGTAAAAAATTATACCCTAATTAGCTTAATTAAGAGTATATGTCTGTTTGATTTTAATCAACAATATCGGCATCCTTTGTACATTATGGATGGTATTGATAGGTTCTTATTTATGATTACAATATTGATGTCGCATAGTCCCTTAATAATTTCATGTAATATGACCTATGTCGTCTGAAGAGGCGGGTAGAAGAGATTCGTAGCTTATACTAACAAGGACC